CAGGCCCCCCAAAAACCTTCGAAAAACCCTGCAAACCATCCCACAAGCCGCGCCGAACGTCTCCTTGCTACCGCGACCTTGCCCACAGGAAGCCGCGACCGCATGGCAGCAGGGAAAATCGCCACGCATCCGGTTTGTAACCTGAGGTAAATTGTTCCTGCCGAAGCTGGTCGTAACCCAAAATGTTCGTTAGTAGAGGCGTTCGTATCCTGGGGTACCACTGTACATGGTTAAGATATCTCCTTAGCTGTGCAGGATTAAGAGGCTTCTCCCCAATCTTTCTTGTTCTAAACCTGAGTGAGAGGTGACCTGTTCAGTCATTCAGTCACTTCTGCTCCTTTGTGACCACAAGACATACTTTTACTAGGACTATTTGCCAGTAACTGCTTCTTTAAAACCTTGTAAGCTCTTGCTTGTGTCATCAGTGATAGTATCTAGCCACCTTGTCATCTGTTGGCCTCTTTTTTGTCTTCAGTTTTTTCAGGTATCAGGATCTTCTCCAGTCACTGTTGCCTCTGCATTATGTGTCCAAATCATTTAAGCCGTAGCTTCATTATTAGTGGAGCTTCTGGTTTTACTTCGTTTAGTATCAACTTCTTAATAGTCCAAGATATTCCCAGTAGTTTTTTCCAGCACCACAATAAAAAGACATCACTTTATTTCCACTAACAGCAACTTAAAGATTAATCAAGTTGCGGCAATGAAACAGTCATCCTTCATTTAATAGCAGGAAAAGAAGACAGCAAGTACTACAATTCCTTTTCCTTTTTTAGTAATGTTTTTAAATTGATGTTTTATGTGTTTATATATATTTATGGTTTTAATGTTTTGTGTGAGGCCCAGAGTTCCCCCACTGGGGGGAGATGGGCGGGGGAGAAAATAAATAAATAAATACCTATGAAAATAAGCCAAAAATGCCCACAACCTTTTCTCTCCATAAGGAGTCATTTAGTTAATTCCAGCCCATTCAAGAAAGGCCCTCAGGTGAAAACAACAGATTTTAGAAATCAAAAGCTGGGTGGCTTACCCTCGGGCAGATGCTGTGATCTTGTACGTTCCTGGAGTCAGCAAGCGCCAATAATCCCCAGTTTTATAGGTGGAGACAGGATGGTCAATGCTGGCAATGCTGATGGTTGCATTCAAGATGCCCCGTCCATCAGTGGCATCCAACACAAACCCTCTAATGCCTCGATGAACCTACGTGAGGAGAGAGAGAGATGAACTGTTAGATCTTGCAAAAAGACTCAGTCTTTGATCTGTCTTCCTACAAGAAAACAAGGGCCAGGGATTGTGTTTTTCCTTGTGCAGTCCACAGCAGTCCTGGCAAGCATTTCTTAATCCTGCGGGGTAGCACATCATCTTACCTGCTTGATAAACTGCAGCAGAGAGCGGCGGTTCTGCTCCCAGTATTTTGGCAACTCTTCTGCCCTGGGATATTTGACACAGCCCAGCTCAATAGTCACCTCGAAGCAATTAGTGTTAAAGTAATTCCAATCCTGCATGCCACCTGAAACGAGGATATCGGAAGAAACATCAAAAGCTTCTGGTTAATGGCAAGCATGAGAATAAAGAAAATCTCACAGCATGAGAATAAAGAAAATTAATCCCACAGAGCTGAAATTCTAACCACAATACTTTGAGTTTGTGGAACAATAAAACAAGATGCCATTTTAGGAAAAGGAATTTAAAACCTCAGACTTCAAAATCTGAGCAGAATCATCTTCAACTATACACATAGTTTAAAAAGTAGCAACACTTCTTTTACATCCATAGAAACAAATCAAATTCATGTGAAATAAGAGCAAACCTGAAATAGAGAAAGTGTCAGAAAAAAGAAGATGCCAAATAGAGTACAGAACTGCTTTCTTAAACACCTGTGCCTAACAGTAGGAGGCAGTATTTACATTAAAAAAAAAACAACTCAAAGGAATATGGTTGGAAAATCCTATGCAATTTCTGCACTAAACAATGGCTGTGTTCACACATTGTGTAAATCAGGGTTTAAAAAAAATACCGGTTTGGTTCACATATAACAAAAAGCAAACAAACATTAGTGGTGTGCAAAACAGTTCAAATAATCTGTTTCAAATTCAAAGCTCCCGATTTCAAAGTCAAAACCATTCTGACCTTGAAATAGGGCTTTTCAAATAACATTTTTCACAGCCCTAGAAAACATCATGGCTTGCTTACAAGGAAAAGTTCTCATCCTAAGAGAACAACCTGGAGGGGATTTAGGATCTTATTTTCACACATAAGGCCCATAGATTTTGTTTGTTGGCTCCACAACAAACATCTCCAGCATTTATGCTTTACCTGGAACATTATACCATTTCGCTCCATTAGTGATGCCATGGGGAAAGTATTCCTCAGGATACATGTTGTCACATGGGTGGCCCTGGAACATTTGCACATTCTCCTGAAAGAGCAGAATATGACTTCCTATGAAATCTACATGAGTTCAGGTTAATGTAGTTGATTCCTACGTTACACTTGAAGTCATAGACAAACCTTTCGTGAGAAGAGTTGTTGTTAATACATGCCTATTTATGAGCAGCTGTAGGAATAACAGAACACAGGAAGTTGAAGCTTCTAGTGACGTCATCTGATCTTAAAAGCTAAGCAGGTTGAAACTGTTTAGTGTTTGGAAGAGGGGCAACCAGAAAATCCTAGGGCTGTGAGCTAGACTGGGAAGTTGGAAAGCATGCCAGGTGAAAACGAAGGCCAGATGCTCCCAGAAAAACTACATGGATATGCCTGTGATGTCACCAGCAGTTCAATTTGACCCCAAAGAGACTTGATTTTATAAAACCTTAAATTCAGATTGGAAAAATCCAAGTCTTATATTATTATAGAATTTTTATATCACTTTCATTCAGCTTTCATTCCAAACAGGGTACAAATAAGTAGTTTGTGAACAATCATCTCTAAACTGTATTTTTATTCCTGTTGATGGTATTTGAAAATTGAAATATGAGAAGAATTACTACATATTCATCCCAACATTAACCAAGTATATCATTCTCTTGCAATTTTAGTTAAATAACATTGTGAGATAGGTTAGGCTGAGCATATGCGATGATTCAGGCTCATCCTGAGTGTCACAGAGTCTCCTAAGTTCCTATTGAGTAGTGACTCTACAGTCACTGCTTTCATTCCCTAAAACCCACACAACTTGTTTAATTTATTAAAACAATTTATATGGCCACCCAACTCACTCATGCCTAAAATTGTTGGTGCAAATATGACAGAAGAAAACCTATCAGGAACTACAATCAAGACAACAAGGACCTGCATTTTCTTGCAGAAATAAGTAAAACCACAGAATAATGCCATCCACAACTTTTGAAACTGCTGTCTTGATTTTATTCACATCAGATTGTTATACTATTTCTTTCCATATACTTTGAGCAGCCCTTCTTGCTATATTCTTCTGAACCTAACAATTCAGCTTTTCCAAAACTTAATGCCTTCCAAACATTTTGGGCTACATCTTCCAGGATCCCCAGGTCAGCATGTTGGATTAGTCACTGGGTTTACACTTCCCATTACTGTATACTATAGTTTCTTTTAACTTGGATTTATAAAATAATCACATTTCAGAACATTAAGCCATAAGCCAGAGGAGTAAAATTTATACCCCGGAGCCACATCCAGGTCACAAAACACTATAGGCCCAATCCTTTCAGAAATTGCCAGAAAATTCTATTTTTTGAAGTGACAAGAAGAAAAACTGTATTTAACTGATCTAATGTAATTTCAATTAAATTAAAACTAAATTCAAATCTATTTTTTGGCCCTAGCCATATCTTCTTCTTTGTCCTGTCCTACCTTTTTTTGTCTTTGGAGTATGGCCCCCACAAAAGTCACACTGAAAAAAGTTTTCACCCATGCCACAAACCATGGTTATACTGGAAAGCACAATGGGTGAGTTAACATATCATGTTAAATGAACATATTTCATCATGATTTAGTGCAGTCATCCTTAAACTTTGTGATATTGTGAACCCCGAAAAAGGTAAATGAATTTGTGTGATACCCTCCGCTCTGTACTGAATAAACTAATGATTTCATTGCAGTTACGGCTGGGCAAAAATAAATACAGTCAGGACCAGAAATATTGGAACAAGGATAACTGTTTTGGCATTTGGCCTCTGTACACCACCACACTGAAGTTGAAAGGAAGCACACCCAGATGGGAGCGAATTCGGGACTTTCCCTGTAATTCAAGGGGTTTGACAAAAGTGGGGCACTAACCATTCAGGAAGTACAGCCAATGGCATACACCTCCCCCCCATCGTTGGTGGCTCATATGTAATGGAACAAACCAACATCATTACAAACATAAGGATCGCCTTTAATACCTGGATGACAATGCTTTGCAGTCAATGGCTGCCTGAAGTCTGGAATCCACGGACATGACCAAATGCTGAGTTTCCTCCCTTGAGATGCTTTGCCAGGCCTTTACTGCAGCTGCCTTCAGCTGCTGCTTGTTTGTGGATCTTTCTGCCTTCAGTCTTGTCTTCTGTAAGTGAAAGCATGTTCTATTGGGTTGAGATCAGGTGGCTGACTTGGCCATTGAAGAACATCCCACTTCTTTGCCTTGAGAAACTCTCGGGTAGCTTTTGCTGTATGTTTTGGGTCATCATCCATCTGCAATATGAAGCGGCGTCCTATCAGTTTGGCAGCATTTGGCTGAATCTGAGCAGAAGGTATAGCCCTATACACTTCAGAATTCATCCTGCTGCTTTTATCAGCAGTCAGGTCATCAATAAACACCAATGACCCGATTCCACCGGCAGCCATACATGCCCATGCCATAACACTGCCTCTACCATGTTTGACAGATGATGTGGTATGCTTTGAATCATGAGCTGTTCCTTTCCTTCTCCATACTTTTATCTTCCCATCATTCAGGTGCAAGTTAATTTTGGTTTCATCAGTCCAAAGAATCTTATTCCAGAACTGGGCAGGCTTTCTTAGGTGTTTGCTGGCAAAATTTAATCTGGCCTTTCTTGAGCATTATCAGTGGTTTGCACCTTGTTGTGAAGCCTCTGTATTTACATTCATAAACCCGTCTCTTGACTGTAGATGTTGACAATGACATGCCTACCTCCTCAAGAGCATTCTTGACCTGGCTAGATGTTGTGAAAGGGTTCCTCTTCACTATGAGAATTCTGTGGTCATCCACTTTAGTTGTCTTCTGTGGTCTTCCAGGCCTTTTGCTGTTGCTGAGCTTGTCAGTTAATTCCTTCTTTTTCAGGATGTT